CGCTCCGTGCCGAGGGCCGTGGGCTGTCCTTGAGGGAGCTGCCGGCCTTGCCTCCGCGGGTGGGTCTCGGCCCTCCCTCCTGCCTCAGCTGTTGACTCTGGGCCTCAGTTTCTTCTGTGTAATGGACGTTCGTGCGCCGGTGGTTTTGGGGCGGGATGCGGCAAAGCGTCAGGAAGAGGACGCTGTGGGCAGGCGGCCTGCTTTAGGGAGTCCGCTCTGGACGCCCCGAGCATTCCCGCCGAGGGAGCCCTCACCCTGCTGGACACACGGTGGCAAGCTTCCCGCGCTGGGCTTTGGGACACTCAGGGCAAGCGGTGACTCGCTCTGGTCCCCGGGCCCCCCGGAGTACACACTGGGAACCTCTCCCTTGGCTTGGCCGTGGGTGGCGGGGAAGGGGCCCCAGAGCAGGGTGGCGGCCATCACCGTGTGGCGGGCCCGCAGTGCGTCCCCTTACCCGGAAGCCTCGCAGCCGGACCGGGGGGTGGCGAGAGCTGTCACGACAGCAGGGCCCGGGCCCGTGGGGTGCGGCCCCCCCCGGCCCGGCCCCGCAAAGGCGGCAGCCTCTGCTCTGCGTCTGGGGGACGGCGCCCCGGACGGCCAGCGGCCACGCCGGGCTCTGCAAAGGGCCGCGAGGATGAGCAGGAGCTCGCGGCCGGCGTCGGGCTCGGTGCTGGCACGCCACGCTCAGCTCAGAGGTGGAGCCTGGGCCGGCCGCTGTGTCCCCGCCCAGGCCCTCTGCCCGCCTGGCGTCCGGCTCACAGCCGGGGGACCCTGGGGCCTCGCTGAGGCCGCGCTGTCTCGCCAGCCCCTGGCCGACGGCTCCTCCAACCCGTCCCTGCACGAGACCCTGAAGCAGGTGGTGCTGCCCAGCCAGCTGGTGGAGGCCTCCCCGTCCAGCAGCCTGGGGAGCCTGAGCCAGGCCGAGAAGGACGACCGCAGCTCCGTGTCCAGCATCCGCTCGGCCGCCAGCGACGACAGGTTCCTCAGGCGCACCTTCCTGCAGACCCCCGGCTTCCTGGAGACCCTGGCCTGTGAGGGGTAAGGGGGGGCTGCCTGCTCCCTGGGGGCAGACGCACCGGCCCTTCGCGGTGGGGGGCGAGTGTCCAAGCCGCTCAGTCTGGACGCGGCCTCCCTGTCCACTGGCGCCTGTCCCCGCTGGCCGGTGGGGCCAGGGGCCCGGCCTGACCCCGGGGAGCCCAGGGCCTCCCTTGGGGCCGTGTCCAGGTGCGGAGGCGGGTCGGCCCCGGTGCTGGGTTCCTGGGGCGGGGGGCGGGGGACTGGAGGTGGGGGAGCCGGCCCAGGCTCAGAGAGGGAAGTGCTGCTGAAGGATGGGCGAGACCCTCCCACTCACCTGAGAGGTAGGTGCCGTCACTGCCCGATGTGGAGAGCACAGGGGCACACACGAGGCTGAGTGTCTTGCCCGAGGCCACGCAGCAGTGAGTGGCAGCGGGTCACGGCGCGTCACCACACCCCGCAGCCGGCGCCTCAGCACAGCAGGTGCTCGGGAAAGTCCTGTTGGTGGTCTGCGCCCACGTCAGCAGCCCCTCTTGGCTCTAGAGGGCCGTGCCAGAGGCCGGGGTGGGGTGGCCCAGCGCTGAGAAAGTGCAGGCTCTGAACCCGGGGCCCACGGCCGGGCAGGGGTCTCGCCGCCGGGGGTTGTTGCCGCCTGGGGGTCTCGCTGCCTGGGGGCGGGGCTGCGTAGAGTTGCGCGAGAGGCCTGGTAGCAGCCTGGGGGGAGCAGCGTGGCCATTCAGTTGCACGCACCCTCAGGAGAAAGGCCACCTCCGGCCGCTCTCGCCACCAGGGCCGCTGCCCGGTCGGCCCTCACTCGCTTCTGTCAAGTGGGTGTGAGAAGGTCTCCGAGGCGGCGGCCAGGACGGGTGGCCGTGAGCTGGGCATGGCAATGCCCAGGAGGAAGGGCCGTCTTTCAGTCACCCACTGCCGCCTCTTTGGGGTTCAGAGAGCGCCCCCGTCCTCGCCTGAAGCGCTGGGGCCCCTGGGAGTCCCCTGAAGCTGAGATCTGGCGCACGCCCCGAGGCTTGACTGCCGCGTCCACCCCAAACCTCCGGGCCTCTCCTCTGTTCCAGGGTGGACCTGGACCTGTCCATCTACAACCTTCACTTGAAAGACCTGCTGGGCCTGGACGCGGCGCTGAGGCGGGAGAGGCACCTGGTGGGTGAAGAGCGAGAGGCAAGGCTGGGGTGCGCTGGGCCCCGGGCGCGTGGGGCCGGCGGCAGCGAGCAGAGCAGCCCAGCTGAACGGACACGCGCCGGCCCCACCCAGGGAGAAGCAGCGGCCGCCGTGGGGCGCCCGGCACGCGCTCTCCTGCCAGACAGGCAAACCTGGGACCGCAGTCTCCCTAAAGGCCCCACGCCCGCGGCCGTACTGAGGGGCCGCAAGTGCTCTGATGCCCTGGGCCCGGGGCAGGGGTTGGGTGCTGGGCTGAACACGTGCCATTGTCTCCTCTTCGGATGAGGAAACTGAGGCACGGTCACAGAGCTCTGAGCGTGGCAGTGGCTTTTCTTTTTTTTTTTTTAAGGATTCATTTATTTATACCTACAGAACTGGGGTCCAGGCCAGAGGGGCAGGGGTGGTAGGAGGATTCACCAGAGACAGAGCGGGGAGCAAAACGGGCAGATGGACGAAGTACACTGCTGCGGGGCGCAGCGGGCGGGTCAGAGCTCTGCTGTGCCCTGTGGGCCACCTCCCGGGCGGGGAGGGAACTCGCACTGCAGCAGCTGTGGCCAGCTGGCAGTGCTGCGTCCTCACCCGCTGCGCCACCGGGGAGGGCCCATCTGTGCCGTTTCATGGGCCCGTTTGTACTCTCCAAGTTGGCAGAGAAACGGGCCGAAGCCAGGCAGGGAGGTGGGCGTCCCTGGACACACTGCCTGGACGTCAGAGGACTGGTACCTGGACTCTATAAAGAGCTCCCAAAACTTAGCTAAGAAAAGTAAACAACTCAGTTAGAAAATGGCCAAACCAAGAGCAGATACTTCAGCAAAGAGGATACCCGGTTGGCGAGTAGACCCTTGAAAAGCTCATTATGCCTCTAGGGAAACGCAGGTAAGCCCCAGTGAGGTGGGAGCCCCCCTCAGCGTGCTGAGAACAAGCCAGTTACCTCCAAGTGCCTTGAATTGTCATGGCTCACCCCTGGGGGAGAAAGCAAGGCCTCTGCAAAGCAGGCCTTTTCTCAGGGAAGTAAAGGTGATGGCCAGAGCACAGCCACGGCCCCTGGACACTCACCCAGGGGCACATGAAGACCCTGCGTGCATGTCGGCAGTTTGTACCAAACCCAGCTGCAAAAACCCAGGACCCTAAACAGCGAAAGGCCAAGTTCAGAGACAGCCGGCTCTGTCCCATCAGCGGGGACCCGGCCCCACTGACCCGCGGAGGGTCACCTGCCTCCCGAGACAGGACAGCGGATGGGTGGCCTCACTCACCAGTTCAGATCGTGTCACTGGCTGTTCCCACCCAGAAACAGCCTCCCTCTGCCATCTGTATTCTGTTGACTTAGGTAGATTGGGGCCCTCGGGAGGGGTTTGCACAGAGTAACCCCGAGTGGCGTATTTTTAAATGAACGAAGAAGGGAAAAAAAGCTGTGAGCTCCCAGACTGACAGTGCTTCATGGAGACGCAGCCTGTGAATGCCTCTCTCCCAACTGATAACCTGAGGGGTTTTCCTACACAAGGCGTGTGTTTGGGGGGGTGGGGTGGGGAGAGAAAGAAAAACAGACAGCGAGAGAAGAGGGAGCAGGAGCGGGAAGAAGCCGCCATTGTTTAAATCATTCTCTTATGTTTTCTGCTTGACAACAGATGTTTATTCAGATTTTTAAAATGTGCCTCCTTGACCTTCTTCCTAAAAAGAAATCGGATGATGACTTGTATCAGAAGATTCTGGCAAAACAAGAAAATGTAAGTACCTCCTCGGTCTGTGTTTCAGTTCACTACATTATTGACTTTTCAGTGTGACAAATACGTGAAGTCGTGCACAGATACAGAGGGAGTCGTGCGGTGTTCACACGTGGGAAGCAGAAGCACGCCGTCCTCCCCCCGTCCAGAGGAACCACTCGGGGGGATTCTCGGAGGTGTGGGCTGCCCCGGCTTGGGCTGCTCGTGCTGCTTGACATCCTGCCCCTCAGGGTCATCGGGCAGCGGACGGTCAGGGCTTGGAGCCAGACCGGTGGGAGCTGGAGATCTGTTCTGTCCTCACCAAGCGTCCTGGGCTTCTCCCTTGTGTCGTGGGTGGTCATTCCTGGCCGGGGGCTTGCGGGAGGAGCAGAGGAACGTGCGCAATGAGCCAGTGAGACGATAGGGGGCCCCGGGGAGCTGCAGTCCACTGCGCCATGGCCGTCGCCATGGCTGTCACTGTCCACCGCCTCCGCCACACCCCCGCCCCTGTCGTCCGGGGAGGGAAGACGCCACGGCGCCCAGGGGCTTGGCTTGGGGCCCCACCGGCAGCTCGACTGGTGTTACCTTTCCCTGCAAATCCCGGGCAGCTCCGAGGCATGGCCAGGAGATGGACAGAAACGGCAGCGCACGGCCGCCCCGCGCATGGCGCGGAGGACGGGTGGCGGATGAGGCGTGGACGTGCTGCGTCACGGGGTCCTAAAACGGGAATCCCGGCGTTAGCCAAATTGCTACCCAGCCTGGCCAGGCCAGGCCAGCACACAGATGCCCCCTGGGCTGAGGCCCCAGCGGCTCGCTGGCCCCTGCCTGGAGGGCCATCTGGAGGGAGGAGGCTGGCCACAGCTGCCTTCCTGCTTTGCGCTTCCTCCCTGGGCGAGGCGAGGAGCCCTCCCCACGGGGCCAGCGGCATGGGGCCGAGCGGGGCGCTTTCCAGGACTTCATGAGGGTCGCGAGACAGGATTGCAGTGCTCGTTAAGTATGGCCCATTTGAGGCAAGAGAGGGGAGATGGCAGAAAATAATCCGTCATTCTTGAGACTAATAATAGGTGGAGAATAATCCATTATTCTCATATTTAATGAGAAAGATTTTTGTCACCAAAGATTTGAGTGTGTCTCTGTTTCGTTAGAGCGACGTGGAAGAGGCCACCAGGAGCTGTGGACAGTGGTTAGAACCAAGAGTAGGGAGGTGGCCGGCCAGGGGCAGAAAGTGCCCTGGCGGCTTGATACCGTCTATGCTATTCAGCTAAAAAAAATTACAAGCAAGACTGAAAAAATTAAAAACACAGCAGCACCCAGAGCACGTAGCGTGGGCTCATACGGGTACAAGGGCGCACGCCTCTCTCCGGAACTTAAATGCACCCCCTTTCTCTGCATTTCGCGTCTCTCAGGATCTGAAGGAGCTCGAGAAGGAACTCCAGGCCAAGCTGGCAAACGCAGAGGGGCTGGGCGCTGGCGACTCTGAGTACATCGCGCTGGCCGACGTGGAGAGGCGGGAGCGGGACCACGCCGAGCAGCTGGCGGGCAGTGTGGGTCTCCGCCCCCTCGGGAGCCCGCTCCGGCCGCGGCCCAGCGCGAGCTAGGAGCTGGCGGGCGGCCGAGCCCCCGCCCCGCCCGCCCCGAGCCGGGGTCCCCTTCGCCCCACGGGAGAGGCGAGATGCAGGCCGTGTACAAGGCCGGACGGAGGCCCTCTGCTGGGGGCCGGGCCGGGGCGCGTGTGAGGTGCCGGGTGGGGCCTGCTGGCGCCAGGAGCGGGCTGGGCGTCCACCGACCCGGGGGACCCTGGGCGCTGACTTGGCCTCAGGCTCCCGTCTCCCCACCTCCAGCCGCCACCGCAGGTCTGTGTGGCTGCGGTGTCCCTTGAGGACAGTCCCTGTCCACGTCTGAGGGTGGACGGGCCCAGCCGGGCCTGCCCCGATGCTGCACTGCTGAGCCGAGCGGCCTCCCAAGATGGTTTTTGGCTAGAAATAAAGCGCACCCCCGAAAGGAGAGGGGGGCAGCTCGGAGTGGCAGCTCTGGGCCTCGGGGCGGAGCCGCACACAGGAGCCTCGCCAGTGTGAGCTCCCGCTGACGCCCGCAGCGTGTCCCCAAGGTCGGCGTTCTCTGCCGTATCGCTCTTGTGTTGCTTCGGGACAACAGCGGCTCCTTCCATGGCTAATATTTGAACGCGTGGCCAGGGCACATTTAAGCCCTTTGAAGTTCTGGAAACTTCCAGCAGCCACTGTGGAGTTCCTCGCAGCCCCCCCACCCCGTGGCGGGCTCAGCCTCGCAGGGTCTTTGGGTTGCGGGTGATCTCTGGCTCCCGTGCCCAGCAGCAGCGCCTCGCCGTGGCCGTGGCCGAGGCCCCGGGGCCGCTCTGGGCAGGGCGAGTCCCGAGGCCACTCGCTGGGAGCCGCGGGGCCCTGGACGCCTCTCGTGATGAGGGGCGCCGTCCCCCGCTGTGGCCCCGGGGTGTCTGGCTTTCTCAGCTAAGTCTCCTCCTCTGCTGCTCACCTCGCCAGATGGAAGCGTTCTGGAGGCAGGTGGAGAACGTCCCGCTGTGTCTCGTGGACCAGGGCAAGTGTCCCGCCTCCAAAGCCCGGCAGCTGCTGGCGGCTCTGACGGAGAGGCTGGCCGTGGCCGAGGGGCTGCTCCGCCACTCTCAGGACCTGCAGGCTCTGGTAAGGCGGGAGGGGCCGCGCGACACCCCACGCGGGGGGCGCGGGCCGTCCCTGGGGTGCCCAGGGGCACCCCCTGGCGTGGCGGGGTGGGAGCCAGAGGAAGGCCACCGTCGCCCGCGCGTCGGTCCGCCCGCCGTCCTGCCATCCCTCTGTCCGCCCCGTATGAGGGCCGCTGGCCAGCTCAGGGTTTCGGGCCCCAGATCTGGCTGCGTGCTGGAACTGTCCGGGACAGGCCGCGCCGCGCGGGCAGGTGTGCGGCCGCCCGGAATGAGCCGTCTTGCCCGTCATCGGGAGACGTCAGTCTGGTGCGGGCAGCGGCAGAGCCCAGGGCTGGCAGACAGCAGCTCAGGCGTGCCCCTCGCTCAGAGGCGCTCAGGTCAGTGGAGTCGGAAGGGCAGAGGCGGGCGGCAAGACGGAGGCAGGCTCAGAGCCCGCAGACAGGAGGGCTGACGGCCGGGGCGGCGGGGGGCGTCCCGGCGGGGTCCCTCCTGGGGCTAGCGGGGACACAGGCCCCAGGTGCACCTCTGCCCCGTGGGGGTCAGGTTCACAGCAGGCCCAGCTCTGCGGCCTGACCACAGGGCCCCTCTGGCCCTCCGCCTTCGCCTGAAAGCAGGCCCCGCTCAGGGACCCCCACTCCGAGGCCTTTCCCAGCTGTGTGCTTGGCCCCGGGCGGGCGCGGAGGCCTGTGACCGCGCCCAGAGGCGCTGGCTCGGTCCCCTTCGCACTGTCCCCGCGAGGTCGACTGTCCCCACCCGGAGCAGGCGGGGGCGCTCGCGGGGGAGCAGGCTCCCCCCAGCCAGCACAGGGCCGTGCCAGGGTGGAGCGGGCCCAGCGGCGGAGGGCTCCCTGGGCGCCCCAGCCGTGGCCCCGTTTCTCCCGCAGGACATCCTGGAGCGGACGATGGGGCGCTTGCTCGTGGCCAGGATGATGGAGGCCCTGAAGCTTCAGGTGCAGGAGGAGACCAAGTGCCGCCTGGCCGCCCTGACGCGCAGCCTGCAGCTGCTGAGCGCGGAGGGCAGGCTCTCCGGGCTGCAGAGGGAGGACCTGCTGGCCCGGCAGCAGAAGGCCTTCTGGGGCGAGGCGGAGCGCTTCAGCCGGGGTGAGCGCCCCCCCGGGTGCGGGTCCTCCACCCGGCTTCGGGCTGGAGGGTGGCAGCTCAGCCCACAGCGCCTGGTGCCCTG